GAGGGATAGCATTAGGGGAAATACCTAATGTAAATGATGAGGTGATGAGTGCAGCAAACCAACATGGTACATGTATACCAATGTATCAAACTTGCATGTTGTGTACATGTACCCTAGAACCTAAAGTATAATTTAAAAAAAAAAAAAAAGTCGATTTGTTGTATCCTCTTGCACTGTCTCTGGGCCTGACTATTGTCAATTTTTTTTTACCGGGGGCAACACTACACTAATCAAACTTGAAAAGAAGAGAGGTTTGGAAAACATTTGCACATTTCTGTTTTTTTTCTTTTGAACCCCTCATATCACCATGAAAACACGCCCAGACTAGCTTGAGGAATGTAAAGGACATGTGGAAGAGAGGTGAGCTGTGCCAGCCAAGGTCATCCTAGACCAATCAGCCCCCAGCCAATTCACCAGCTGAACACAGCACATAAGTAAGCCCAGATAAAAATCAGTCAGGCCTGGCTAATCCAGGAAACCTGCCCAGTGAGCACACTAGTATTTTGAGTAAGAAATATTCAACAATTGCTTTGTTAAGTCATTAAGTTTTGCAGTGGTTTGTCATGCAGAAATCGCTAACTGATACACCGAGAGACCCAAAAACCAATCTATACCCCAGGGCCCCATTATTTACCAATCAAGATCCTAAACTGGGCATTGCAGATCTGCCTAGATTGAGACTCAATCTTCTCCAGAAATTTGCTGTTCTTGTGACTGAACCCTAGTTCTGGTCTTCAGATGCTTCTGCCCTTCACCTACAGGAGATCATAGTTTATACCCACGCGCTGAGGAAAATTTCCTGGCCTTCACATCTAACCTTTAATGGCATTTCTTTATCTTCTTCCCAAAGCAACAATTGCTCCCCGAAACAGCTTCCAGTTAAAATGAAAGAAGTATTTTTCTTTTCTATTTTCCTCCTTTCAATTGCATTCTATTGGAGTGTTTCTCAAAGAATACTTTAAGAAACATCTGCATGAAAAGTATTTATGGTGCCTAATAACACAGCAATTTCCTGGGCCCTAACCTCAACCAAAATAATCAGAACCTCAGCCAATGGATCTTTGAATTTTTAGTTATCACCAACCTCCAGGTGGTTGTTAAGCACATTAAGACTTAGTACAAATATGTGAGACCTTGAAGAGGCCCAATAAGAGATTAATGACAATGAAACTGAGGCATCAGGACTTCTTTGCTGAGATTCTTCTCAGGTAAGGTCCCCTGAACAGATACAGCAATGTGTTCAAAAAGTCATGTGTTTTTATAGCATTTGAAAAAGCAGGATATTTTAACTCCCATTGGCTAACATTGTTTTTTCTTAATTTTCCAAATTTTCCATGAGGACACCTCCCCTCATATCAGGTGGACTTTGGATAGCTCTGATCATTTTGTATTCATGATTTCTCTTATAAGGTGGCCTTGCAGCAGTTGTAAGAGTTTTCTAATCATGAAGTTGTATTGTTTTCCTTGTAGTCAGTGCCCAAATTATATAAGCTTCAGGTCTCTCCAAACCTAGATCTGCTTGTAATGGGGATGCTAGGGAGCTATTCAATTTAACTTTGTCATTTTACAAAGGAAGAAAATAAAGCTCCAAGTGATGAGTGAACATTTCCAATTCCATATTAGTAACAGATGGCAAAGTCAATTCTGGAACTGGAACCTTTTCATTTCCATTTCAGGTAACAGTACACTGTTTCCTCTTAAATATAAAGCTGTTATTTAAGGCATTTGTGCTAACTTTTAGGTAATCCCTCATTATTTTTAATAGACTTCATTTTTAGAGTCCTTCATCATTTTTAAGTAACAAATTCTTACCAGTAGACCGTATATAATTTTAGGAAAAAGTTTATCAAACAAGCCAGACATGATCTTACTACTAATTCTGCCCCTCTCTGATGTTCTTTCTTTATTTAAATAACTAAGACATTAACATGTTGCAGTTATTTTGTATATTAAATGAGAAAATAAATATACCACAGTTCACCATATAATAAATGTATTACACTAATTGTTTAACATTTTTTAAGTACTTGAGGTACTTTACGGAGATAATTTATATATGACTAGATTTTTTTTGTAAAAAATAATATTATGGCTAAGAAAATATATTTTGAGAATTGAGATGAATCCAGGAATATTCCCCAAAAGAGATTTTGAAAGGGGAACTGAATTTATGTGGTTACATGGATGAGGTTATCAATCTAGCAAAATTCTGATTAAAGGGCGATTGAATAGTTGTTTACATTCACAAATTGGGGACATCCGGGTTATACTGTAAAGACCACTTTCACAGTTACCATAGAAAAATACACCTCCTGCTTAAAAACAGTGGGAAATTTTCCCACGGCTTTCAGTGGGGGAAAAAGAAAAAAAAAAGCTACTTTTCTCAAGAAATTATCATGATTATACTTTATGGACATTGTAAATGTTTCACCTGATTTCTTCTTTTTACAACTTTTGCTACTTGGAAGTTCAGGGTAAAGTTGTTGCCAACTTTCAGAAAGTTTACAGACCTATATGATGTGGGTTTCTTGCAGCATCCATGCTGCACAAGTCAGAGAATAACTTTTCTTCAGTCTAAAAGCTCTATTGTCAATTATATTTCATCATGCTAGACTTCAATCCAAAAGAATACATTTTCTCTCAGAGCTCAGTGGCATTATTGATATTCTACACAATATTTCCACAGAAATTTTTAAGGTAATCTGTAAACTCTAAAGCTTGATAAATATTCAAGGTGGCATTACCCCAGAAACCATATCACCTCCTTCTGAATAGTCTAGAAGAAGTACATACTTTCCATAGGCCCAAAGAAACTATCATTACTGTTCTATTTTAGTGGAAATGAGTGTAACACAATAGGAAAGCAGATTTTAAATATGTTGCTGCATGACTGAACTTAAATCTGTTAGTCTACCTATATTAGGAAAATATTTTCCATCTTTCACGTAAATCTCTGCACTAACAATAATTTTTCTCTACTGTCACTTTGAATTTTCTGTGACCAGCTCCTTTAGCTACTGTTCTAGTAAGTATTCAATCAAGATCTTTTAAAGCCATAAATTAACTAAAGATTAACTGGAGTGACTGTTCCTGTTTCTCAACAGACATGTGCTTCTGTTTGTTTGCATTCCTCAAATTCTTTATTGGTCATAACCCACTCAGAAATTGTCCGTTGATTTTGCCAGCAGCATTCATCCTAAGTCCCTCAGAGCCAGTGATCTATTACAATGTAGATCACACTTTGACTTCAAACATTTGGCTGATGGATATGTTGGCATCAAAATAAGAGAGAAGAGACAGTCATCTTTTGACACACTGAATTACTGTCAAAGAAGGAAGTGAAATTTTCTGTTAATTAAGAATAGAATCATCTTCACTGATGTTTAGGAATCGTTCAGCAACATATTAAGGGCTAAGATTAGCAAACCAGGAATACATTGTATTACACTTAATTATGTCATCAGAATTGTTAAAGGCAGTGAAACTCCAACAAAGCAAATGAAATTAAGTACAGTCATTTAAAACCAAGATCAATTCTGAAAGTTTGGCTTCTTAATATCTACATCACCTATGACTCACAAA